AGCAGATAAATGTTTGAAATATGCATATTTGAAGAAAATACAGTAATATGAAACCACACAAGAACACTCCAAGTCATTGTTTCCTAAGGTTTAATTTCAACTTACAAATTTTAAATGATGATTGTAATGCCAATCCAAGTTTTTGCTTATTTGCAATGCACGAACTATTTTTTATAACTTGCAGGTGAAATATTCCTTTCACCACAGTATGCTTTTACCCTTATTTATGCTCTCTTTTTAATTTTTTCCCCCTTGAGTCTTTTTTATTCAACAGTTTAACACATCRCTTCTGGTTCAGCTATAGAGCAATCCTAGAACAATAATGTTTCAACTTGCAAGGAAGAACACCCTTGTTGAGTTGATAGAACTCCACCAGCTGGATTAGATCCGTAAATCTAGTATGGCCATCATCTAGGGTGTGGAACATTTCACCATCATCTTCTACCTGCAAGAGGAAAAGCAACAAGCTGGTAAAGAGAGTAAAGAATCCAGAAGAATGATGGTTGCTCCACTGCAAGCTATGTCTTCATGCCAAAATTGACAAGTTTATAAAACTAAGGACTGTGCAGAGAACAGCATGGCATGTCCACTTCTTTTTTTTAACTTCACTTATATTTAAAAGAAGTGTCATCTGATCCTTGGGTAAGAGACATGCCTCCACTTTCTCTACATCTAATTCTCCCAGAGTTCTGTTTAGTTAGGATAGTTTAACTATTTTGAGTCAATGAACAGAGAGMAATCTGTACTATTCAGTGTAAAAGTAGACAGGAGATTTTAATGCTTCCATGTGCAGAAATTAATTTCTATTTCTAAACATTGTCTACTTAATGCCTCAGTATATTAAAAATGACTAGTCATATATTTTTTTCAGCAAATTCATTCTGAAGCAATAAAATATTATGCTAATGGAATGTCAGTTGACTTTTTTTGTTTGSTGRTGAAGTCTTCTAGCATTAAAMGCTCATACTTGCTGGGGACACTGAYCAAATAATCAAAGAAGCAGAGTTGGTACTCTATATGGCCTTTGGATGATTTCAAAAAGAGGCAATTCAAAGGAAAGCACCAGTAATTTAAATAAGACCTTCCTGAAAGTAGACTGAATCTATTTTACTCTGCCTGATTCCAATATGCACTCACATATGTACATATGTGCACATGTTGACACACAACAGCAGAAGCAAAAAAAAAAAAAAAATCCCAAAGCAAGTTGAGCCAGCCAAAAACAGAGTCACAGATATTTTAAAAATGTTCCCAGGATTATTTAAATGTCCACCAATTTCACAGTTCCTGTGTTTCTATACAAATAATTTAAAACAAATGAAC